CCCACATTGGGCTATAGCATCCCACATGTGTTAACATGGGTGAGACATAAGTGTTGAACTATGACGAATGCTGTGAGGAGTCTTTTGGTATACTGATCACAAATCGTCAGGGGAAGACAACGATAAATGAAAAAAAGGTGGATATATAGTAGGGTAGCTAAGGAGCACAAGGTAAGAAAACTTGTGGGACGAAAGATATAAGGGAGCATAAGATCGGTAATGCAACCAAATTCGAATACAGATGTTATCAGAATGGCCATTACAGATGGCAGAACGTAAGGCACAAAGGAAATGGTTGAGAGAGGCATATAGGTCAGAACATCTCCAATGCTTTCACCATTACAATATTTTTTACTTTATCACATCAGTTTTTCACTATATATTTTTTAAAGAAACAAGATTTTGATCGATGGGATGAAATAAAAAACCATGTTCATAATTAAACGTTATTCTTTTTAATACTTATATCATAATTAAAGTTAGAATTTTCACTAAATATTTTTCATCGTTTTAAAGCACGTGAGAATATGCAAATTGTTGCTATTATCTATATATTATTATATTACCAAAAAACAACATGGATATATTGAACTACAACCAACGCGTTTTATCTCTTCATTTTATTTTCTTTTTTATTGTTAAAACATTAATTTTAATTTCTTATAATTACGAATGTCAATCTCTCAGGATTTCCATATCATCATCGAAGGATTTTTATATTATAATAATTAAAAAATATTTGTGTAATACAGGGAGATATATCTCAATTTTAATGTTTATTTTTATTTATTTTTTGTCTCAATCAATGTTATAATATAATTTTATGTGGTTTTTAGAAAAAGATAATGTTTTTATTTTTGAATAAAATATAAATATGAAAATATCATAAAAATTTGAAAAATGTATATTGATATTAATAACAAACTAACAATTTATATTTCTCGTTTTTTATAATTTCTTTAATTTTTATTTTTTTATTTTTGCTATAATAATATTTTTTTATAGATATATAAATTAATTATTTTATTAGATTTTTATATTTAAAATGAGATGTTTATTCTATATTTGATTATGTTTATCTGTAGTTAGTTATACGAATTCAAATATGAAGCTTTAATCAATTGTACTTACGCACAATTTACTTGTAATCTTGAATTTTAAGTAATATGGTTTTAAGAGTTTTTGTCAAATGTTTTATAATATAGTATATATATCATTACATATATAAAACAACATAGATATATTAACTATAACCAACAAGTCTTGTTTTACTTTAATTTTTTTTATTGTTAAAATTAATTTCCATTTCTTACAAGAATATCAATTGGCATAGGATTCCTTTGTCAAAATTAGGTCTTTGAGTTGAAGCAATACCCACAATCTCAAAACCCATGGATATATAAAAAATCCATAAGATTAATATCGAATGCTTTTACCACCACTGGATACTACGCACGATGTGCTCGGCCGCTTCATTTTAATCGTAAAAATGGATCCAAACTACACTAACAAAACGAAAGGCCAGAATTGTACCAAAAAAGATCAATTCCACTATTGTATTGCCTATCATCTTGTTTTGCCTTTTTATTAAGTTCTATATGGCATGAACTTGTATAGATGATGAGAATGGCCCCGCAAAAGAATTCATAAGATGTTGATTGAAAACCAAATTAAAGACGATTAACTAGGAACAAATCATATATATGGTCAAATTAAGCTACACATGCTCTTTTCTTTTATCCTGATATTTTGATTGATAAGTTAGTATTAATCTTCTAATTTCATATATACATCTGATTATAATATGCTTTTACGATCATATACATGAGTTCTTATTTTATTGTTTTAGCAGGTAAAGTTGGAGGGGATAAATATATAAAATCTACCCATCTTAACACCAAAATCATCATTCACTTTTTCTCGTCTCATTATCATGAAGAACAAAAGTTTTAGTTATCGTAAGTTTAACTGTATGATTGATAGGTTACCTTTAGGCTTGCATACTTGATATGAGGAGTCTTTCATGTTTATAAAGTAGCAATCAGTAGCAACAATAGATAAAATCATATAATCAAAGTTTATTGGTGAAATCATGATTTTGTTTAAAGTTCACAAGTGAAAAACAATGATTTTTGTTGAATTCATAATGTTGTTTTGCGTATAAACTTTGATTGTTCCAAAAATATCACTAAAGTTCATAGATGAAATCAGAAAGTGAATAAGATAATTAATTTTTTTTTAAAACAAATTGATAGACAAAACAATTAAATGAATGACATAATAAAATATAATATCAATATCTTACAAAAATATTTCAAATCTAATAAAAAATGAAAAGAAAATGGATATATTCCAATAGAATGATAGATCGACATATGGAACCAGACAATGGTTTATAATTTAATCCATAAATTTGTATGTACTTAAATCTAGTTTTCTATCCATATTATTTTGTATATGGGTATATCTATTATGTGTATGGGCATATGGCTATTCTCACCATACATGGCTTCTATCATCTATCCTAATCCTTATCTTCAGAGTTCTAAAACTAAAAAAAAAGCAACAGAACACCATCAAAGACAATCTTGGATATATCGATGAACTCCAATAACACGAAGACATCAATAATTGCTTCTTGTTTCTTTCTTTCACTTTACCATCATCACTGTTTAGGTTATTAAACCAAGAAGCAAAGTGTTTTTATTAACTAACGATCAAAGACGGAACAATTAGATCAAGGGTATAAGAAATTAAGAATGTGCTATGTAGGCTTGTAGTAAACAGGTAAGGACAAAATACAAAGAAATTAGGAACTTATGAGTTAATCTGGTTAGACCACAGATTTGTTGGTATACATCCGCACACGAATAGAGGGATCTTTCATTCACCAAAGAAAGACTGAAATCACATATTTTTATTTAACTCTTAAAGATATTATAAAGATGGAATGAAAGGTTTGTATTAGCTTATACTATACGACCATGCCCCATAATCCAACAGGGCAATTTGCCTTGATATGGGAAAATTTGGCATTGCCGTGCCAAGTGATGAACTCGAAAATTCGTATATTTAGCATAAGCATCAATTTGATTTGATTGATTGAAATTAATAATCCACATTTTATTTTTTTTGTTTTGTATTAAAAACTTATCAACCACAAGAATTGTGCCTGATTGGTTTGAGCTTGATTCCAAAGGTCAAAAATACTAGGAGGTCTCAGGTTCAAATCCAAGAAAAAAAATAAAAATTCCTTTGTGGCCACGGAGATTCAAATGCGGTGACTCCGGGCTATATACAAAGCAGGTGGTCGCCTTGGGATTAATCGGCTCGCATAGCGGGTCGGATATCCAGGTTAATACAAAAACTTATCAGATATTTGAATTTTGGTATTTGAACACGTCTGTTAAATAATAATTTGATTAAAAATTGTGTAGATTCTATTAATTAATTGTTAATTAGGTAAGGCATTTAAAAAAATAAAATTAGAAAAAGTTACAAGCATTGATTTAATAACAATTATACAATATATTTTCATTATATATATTTTAAATTAACTTAAACTCAAATTTTTATTTAAAAAGACGTTTTAAATTGCCTTTTGAATTCCTTTCAATATATTCAGAAGACAAGCCGTCTTCTGAAAAATAATTGGTGCGGTTACCATATTGATTTTATTTGTTAAGTTATATGATAATTGTTCTTATTTTTAAATAACTACTTAACCAGCCAAGTTAACCGGTGAACAGTTACCTATTTAAGGTGTAATACCCTAATTTTAGGGGGTATTTTTAGTAAGATAAGAAAACTTAAAGGGCTCAAGCTGTTGAGGTTTAAAAGTGAAATTAAGGGGTTGTACTGTGAGAGGCCAAAGCATAAGGGCCTGCTTCGCCAAAATGGCAATACTTTTGAGTTGTGGGGTGGTTTTCATGCCATATTCGTCGGCGGGAGTTTTGGGGCCGCGTTTGGCTTCATTTCCGCAACAACTGAATCAAATGAAATGTGAGAGGCATCGTTTCTCCATTCCGAGCAAGTGCCTTCTAGGTTTCCGAAGAACCGTCAAGAATTGTGATAGAAATCAGTCGACGAACCAGTTAGGGTTTGTTCAAGAAGACTGATTAATTTGAGGTAAATTCCTAATCAAACTCACTGATTTGCATATTTTTAGATTCAGATTTTGTATAACATGAGTTTAGATGGCCAATGATGGCCATGGGCCGCGTACTTTTTTTGGCAAACGCCGCCGCGGCGAGATTGAAATAGCCCGACTCAGGGGGTGTTTGGAAGTCATTTGACTTGAAAAATAAATAACAATTATCAAGTAATCGTTTAAGTCATGCTAAGAGGTAAATTGGTTATTTTTGCCGTTCAAACTGTTAATTCAAGATAGAAGTAAATAACAACATATTTTTATCCAGACAGATAAATTTATGTTTAACACATATAAAGTATAACAGAAAAATTGGTAAACAACTCCTGAATATTTATATATAACATACAAAACACCCAATCTCAAAGGCGGACATACCAAAATATCCTTCTAAAATCGAAATCGAAAGAAGTCAAACCTAACAATCAGAACTAAGATACATAATTGGAGCGGAAGTGAAACAAATAAAAAAACAAATACGGGGATTTATATAAATCAACATAAAAATCATAAGATTTCGCACGAAGCGGTTAACATGTGGTACAATCACAAACTTCCTAAAAGAGATTAAACCTATTTCAATAGTCCGCATGCTTAGATCTATGATAAAGATTCATATCTATTTACAAAATTATTCCTAACAAAAAAAAAAGTTAGGGGCCGTTTACCAAATACTTACCCAGTAAGTGTTTATCAATAAAATTTAACACTATTATTTACTTACTGGATAAGATTTTAGTCCTTCAAAACAACATCGCATGCAACAATTTACCCGGTAAGTGTTTACCGTGGTAAGAGTCGTCGATTTCACTTACCGAGTAAGACTCTTGGTCTTTGTCTCGCTCTTTCCGGGTAAGATTCTTGGTTCTTACTATATTCATCCGGTGAGGTAACGTGACATTGTAAGCGCTTAATTACTTGAGTAAGCATTTGGTAAACGGCCCCTTAGACTCACTGACGGTTCTTATGGGTCGAAAATGAGACTAATTGGATTTCAAGTCATACTTTTATAAAAATCTTTGACGAATCAGTCCCTTGTTTTCATCTAAAAACAAACCAAAACTTTGTAACATACAATGCTTGACCTCATTAGATCCCAAATTAAGATTTGGTCGACTCAATAAAACTAATTCATATTTAATTAGATCATGATTGATAATGGCTTATATATAAAATAAACAAAAAAGAGAAATGATGTATTGCAAATATAAACCTTAATTAATCCTTAAAAATTGTTTTTTTTTTTTTCGTTCCGAAATTAGTAAACCCCACACAAAGAGATATAGATTATAGCAATACAAAAGAAGCTACACATCGGTAGCTAATTAAACCAATCACAAACATACCCATATTATAGTTTCTTACCAAGTTCGAAGAACAAATTACAAAATAACCTTTAGAAATAATGACGATTTACTCCCAAGCACACCAGCCACTCCATGCCCATAAAACCTTCTTGAATAACTTCCAATAGATATCCAATTGTCTTGAATCGGAAGCCTGAACCCTTCAGATCAGATAAACAATTTGGAGTTACAACTTTGAAATAGGTTATAAAGCTAGCTCCAAAAACTTATTAAGTAGTTTTCAGTGTGCTTTCATTCATTTATTGAAACAGTAAACATCATATCAAGAAAGTTCCAAGGTGTAACTTGTAAGGTATAATAATCATTTTGCAGCAAACTGTATTTTTAATATTAGACCTTGGGAACTTAAGAACAGTGTCTCACCTGATTCAACGACTGAAATGGGCATATCCCAGTACAAATCCATTAGGTGTCATGGATAATCCAAGTCCAGAACCCTTCATCACTTCACTGGAGTCACCACTCCCTCCCATAGAACTAGAGATAGGAACAATTGGCATTGGGTTAGCTACTTCTGCTAGATGCCTTTTGGCCTGCTCTCCTATGTTCTTTTTCAGTACCTCCATAGCTACCTTCAACTGCTCAAGCTCTTGTAACCCTAGGTTCTCTATAGGAGCCTCCCACCAATGATTATCTTGGCCTACTTTTCTGATCTTGCTAAGCTCTTCGCTTCTGTTCTTCTCAATCTCCAATTGACCATTCACACAGGTGAGTTGCCTATTGAGTTGGTGGATATTGGCATTGCGATGAGCCTCCACAAGTTGAGATGTGCTTGAATTCGGTGGAGGATTTTGTGTGAGGAAGCGATCAACAATCGTCTCAACAGATGGATGGCCAAAGGAGAATACCTTTTTACCCGGGGAGAAGACAACGACAGCGATCTCTACCCCACACAAGATGCAAAGCTCACTCGCTTTTTTGAAAAGACCGGAACGGCGTTTGGAGAAGGTAACTAATAAGTTGCTTACTTTCACCATTCTTTTCATTTGGATCTTTTGGCGACCTTTGCTCTTTCGAGCGGTAATCATTGGAGGCTGAGAGGAATTTTTCATGTCGAGCAACAAAAGCAAATTTCAGGGTTTTTTTTGTTGGTGTTTGATCTTGTAAGAAAACTTGAAGGATATTTAAAGGGCTTATCTTGCCTTACAAATTGCACAATGTGTTGAATGTTTTCCCATTTGGATATTTCAAATGTAAATTTAGTTCCATATAGATCGTGTTTTAATGGCTTTCCTAATGGA